ATGGAAAATTTTAAAATACATTTTTCAACTTGGCACCTTGAAGCATTGGAGAAAGGGTTTTCACAGCAGACAAATCATAGTGTAGGAAACCGTCGAAACTGTCCAGAGTGAGCTTAGTCGGAACAACCCGTTTTGCGCGTCTTTTACTATCATTGTGTAAATCATGAAAAATGTTCCCACAGACGAACCAGTCTGGATAAGGTGGCGAAAATGCCAGAGCGAAGTCCGCTGTGGGCAATTTTGGAAATCTGGGTGGTTACAGTTCAAAAGCTAAATCATACTTGAATTCAGGTTTTACAGATTTGGGAAGTTTTAATTTTGAAAGAGTTTTCGTAAATTTTTCTTTCAAAGTAAGTGACGCTTGATAGACTGTTCGACTAAGCTGCGTAGGGTCATAGACAGTTTCAAAATAATCCTGAAAGGCTTTTATTTCTTTGCAATGAGTAGTTTTACCTTTGGGTCCATGATCCTGCAAAGATGAAAAGGCTTGAGTCAGTTGATCTTTTATTTCAGTACTGTCGAACATGTTGTTATTATAAAACTCGCTCCACCAAGTATAAAAGCCTTTGGTCATATAAGTCGCAGGTTCGAAAGAGGCAAGTTTGAAGGCAGCAAAGTCAGCATGGTATTCTTGATGTTTCGCCACGTCCCTCATAACATAATCTATTCCAGCATAGCAGATCTCCTTCTTACGATTAAAGAGAGACACGGGGACAAGTTGATTCAACCCAAACTATCGAGAAGCAAAGTTTGGTTGATAAGCTAGCATGCATACATAGTTCTTCACAGGCAAAATCCTGGAAATGAGGAGTCTGGGAAGGAGGAATGCATGCCAGACATTTTTAACTTCAGTATTGGCATCCTTTATGGCTTCTTCGATCGAAGCAGTAAACCAGGAAGGGCCATGAGTTCGTTTGGCAAAGGGAGCCATAGCAGGAGTAAAGACATGACGTTTCGAGAACATCAGAATATACTTGGTGAGGCTGGATTGAAGATTCATGTCTTCACTAGGAGTCAGTAGCAGAAGGCTAGTTCCTTCAATACTTCTTGCTAATATCATAGGATCCTCTTCATTCACATTTCCGGAAGTTCGAAGAGAGGGTTTGAAGGTGGCATTCAGCCACAGTTGAAGAAGCCAGTAAGGTCCGGATAAGAGGAGGTTACTACCAGCTTCATGTTCTTTAAGCTTGGCTACAACAGCGCCTAGACTTTCATACAAACTTACTAGTAATAATTCACTAAGGCAAACCTTTCGACCAAAATGTAATTGGTTAGCCAAAGTCAAAAATCTTCTAGCTACTTGGAGGGATTTGCAACAGAAAACAAATTTGGACAACCATAAAGCTAAGAAATCTATATGTTCGATGTCAGAAACATCTTCGTCGTCCGTATGATAAAAATTCATATAAGCATTAAAGGAGGCGGTTTTAGTGTTGAAATCTATTGTGTTATCAGATTGGAGAAAAGGGTCAAATATTTCTCCAATAGGAGAAAGTCCTGTGATGGCTGTTACGTCGAACAGTGTATGGGTTATCATCCCACAAGGAAGATGGAAAGTGTTGTAAGTGGTATCCCAAAAACAGTGAGACGCAAGAAGTAAAGGTTGGCAATAGCTAAAACCTAATTTCGACATCTGGATCAGGTCGAAAATGCCTAAATCTTTCCAAAATTGGCTTTTCTTTTTCTCTACTTTTTCTAGCCAGTTCAAATAAGACTTGTCTAAAGTGGGGCAGGATCGAAAAGGTCTAAAGTTCTCAGTGATATAGTTCATTTAGAAAGGTCCTCTGTTGACTTCAGGAATTTCTGTGGATATATTTTTAGGGGATTTGGAAGAATCATCGGGAATATTTCCCTTGTTAGCTATGGGTTTCACAACATGATAGGTTGGAAAAAAGTTTTTGCAATCTTCCAGATGTTCGGTAGAAACTAAGGGACCTAGGAATCCTAAGGTTTTACCAGATAGTGAAGAAGAAATTAATACCTGGGAAGAAAACATGGCTTTTTGTTCTTTGGACAGCTTCAGAGGTGTGATAAACTCCTTATTCTCATGCGTGATTATTTTTCTAGTTGGAATGGATTGAGAAGATGAACCGGTGGAAGCTCCAGAATTTTTGATTTTGATTTTCATTGATTGTTTATGTGAGGCCATTGTTGAGGTTCTTTAAGTTTTCTGGAGATTTTCTGAGTTTTTTGGAAAGGAAAGGGTTTTACAGAGAACTGAAAGGGTTTTTGCTAAGAGAAATGTGTAAAAGTAGGAGAGAGGAAGAAGAAAAAATTGTTTTATAGTGAAGAGTGATCGTCTATCGAGGGACACATGTTCACATCTTAAAAAGGAGAAGGTGAGAAGTTTGTCAAGTCACCTGACATTGGGAATGGTTATTCATCATTATAAACTGCTGCACACACGTCTTGAAACGACGTTTTTGGAGAGATGTCTTGATGATATCTTTAAAATACAAAAAGGTCCTCTTTGCTGGTCGAAATAGCATAAATCACAAGAAATGCCTATTTCTGCACCCATTCGAAACAGACATTTTTTGGGGGCAATTTGTTAGCTGGGAATTTCGACCAGGTTAATATATGAGCTTTTACATTTTAAAATTTCCATAAGACGGCTGAAAAGAACTTTTATGTCGAAATACATTACTAGATCTATGTCGAAGATAGTCTGAAAAGACAGATTGTTTATTTGGTCCAAAGAGCGCATTTTCGACGGCCACGTAAGAAAATCATTACTGAAGACTTGAGCGGGATTATTTGAAATTCGAAAAGGGTTTCTTTGGATAAGAAGGACGCGTGGAATCCTTAGAGTGTCGAAAGACATGCAAGAGAGCAACGTGGCCTTTTCCTAGAATAATACTGTTATGGTTAGGACATTATAAATAGCTCTTTAGTGTTAAGGAATTGAGAGGTCTGAATTCGTACAAAGTTACTCACAAAAATACTCAAATATCAAGTTAAAGAGAAAGAGTTTCGTTGAGAATGTACGTATGACCTCACAATTTTATCTTTGAAATTGCACTTATCAATATAATTGTCTTTAAAATCATTCTTTTACATATTCCTGCAATTGTTCTTAAAATTCTTTATGTTACGTTAAATTCTTTATGTTTTGTCGAATTGTCTTACTCTCCTGCAAAGATTCATAGATCAAATTCCTTTTAAAAGGCTTTTTCTTTGTAACCAAATCACTTAATTCCAGTATTAAGTTTTTTTCTTTTATTGTCAAACATTTACATTCAAACCTTTTTTCGTTTAATTAAGATGCTTCATCTAAACCTTTACATTTGAATTTAATTTCAGAAGTCTTGTACTCCAAACCTTTACACAAACACATGCACACGTATCACTTCATATTTTACACAAGCCCTCAAGAAAGTGTTACAATTGACGTTAAGACAATGTTCTAGGATCAATCTAGTCGATCCTGCAAGTAACCATACACATCAAATCTGTTTGGAAGACTAGCGGTTGTTTCGCTAGAAATCACTGCGAACAGGCTCATAATGTCAAGTTTTGGCTTCTTGTTGGTTAGATGGTCCTTATCCTTAGATTTTACCTTATGCTTTAGGATAGCCTCTTCTTCTCCTCTCATCTTCTTTAATTTCTAAAATCTTCTCCCTCCTATTGAAAACCCTTCTTGTTTTGAAACTTAAACACTTTTATAATAAACTTGGACTTATGTCCATGCATTTTCAAAAACATTTTCATAAACAAACTTTAATCAATTTAATAATACTTTGACATTTTTTATGAGAAGACTAAAAGTCAACCAATCTCATTTCAAACTATTTTGCCACTTTGGCTTTTACCTTTAAACTTTTCTTAAAAGATTAGACTCTTGTCAATTCTTGTAGTAATGCAAACAACTATACTTCTACCATATGTAGTGAAGTGAGATATTTTCCACTTGGGTGTTGAGTGAGACATTGTTTATTTTAAAATCCAAGCCATATCCTCCACTTTGAGATGATGCAAATTCTCCTTTCTCATGATCGTGGGTAGTAAGTACGTTTTCCACATGGACAATGACGATGATGTTTTATCTCATAAAATTAACCAACACACTCGTGTTTCAAATTTTTAAAAGAGGAACTACGTGTACTCTGATCCCCTATTGCACGAAAGGCGGTACGTAGGCACTAAAGGTTCGTAACCGCGGCGGGTGCAAAAATCATAAAAAAATATATTCCTTTTCTCACCTCCACCATCTATTTTATATACAACACTTTTTTTTATAGCCAAAATATACAGATTTTACAAAGAGGTTCCTGCGGAGTACCGTAGATGTTTAAGGTGCTAATACCTTCCCTTTGCATAATCAACCCCCTTACCTTGAATCTTCCCCCCTTTTTTTGGGTTATTCGCTTTTTTCCCATTCTTTTGGAAACAATAAAGCACGGTGGCGATTTTTATTTTGATTTGTATAAAGTCTAGTCAATCCAATGGCTTAGTCTTGAACATTTCTACCGCTACACCAGAAATCCGTTCAGAATCCAAAACTTCACAGAATCTTGTGCTCCAGTGAAGTGCACTGTTGCGTCAACCAAAAATTGAGGAAGATGCACTTTACGATTCTGATTATTTCTCAACACATGTGACCTCTATCTATACAACTTTCAGGGCCTTATGAACCACACAATTGCTGGTGCAATCACAACCCTACAAAACTGTCAGAAAAATCGTAGCTGTTGGATAAAACAATTTTTATAACCTATTGGAAATTTCAAATTCAACTAAATTTCCGACATGTTACCGAAAATGTTAAAATTTCTGAAATTATTTGTAGCGTACCCGAATTTTCATTTTGAACTACCAAAATTTTTGAATTTACCAGAAATTTTAATATTTTACCGAAAATTTAGTTCGGAATACTCTTCTATTTCATTACCAAAAACATTTTAGCCATTATAAAACTTAAAAGAGATGCCATATATAAATTTGAGGGTGTCATATTAAAATCTCTAACTCAAATCAAGCCGGAGGAAAACGGAAAACAAATGGGCTTGGCCCATCAGACGTTTGCATTCATTCCTTCTTCTTTTTCGGCAGTAGCGCGTGCTACTGTTAAGCAACTTCATTTGCACTCTAATTATGCGTCGAAGTTCCCAATTTACCCCTTAGAACAAAGACTACACAGTGAAAAATCAACAACTTCCGTAATTTTAAGTCTCGAGTTCACCGGAGAATGCAATCATAGTGAGCTGAAGTACTCATTTTCCGGTAACTGCAGATCCACACGCCCTCACCGCCAGTGAGTTCTCTATTCACTATATTAATTTTTTTCACCTATTTCTTTTGAATTAATAACTGTGCGGTTTCTTCGTTGTTGCATATTCTTCAATCTTGTTGATTTTGTCTACGGCAGTGTCGATAGAGGAGCTGAAATCTGCTATGAACGAACACATTGATCTTATGTCAGATCTTGTTCAGAAGATCTCTTCCGAACTTCGTACCAACCTTCGTCCTGCTTACGATAACTTCTTGGGGTTCTTTCATGCCATTGATTGGAAGGTACTCATTTCCCTCTAATTTCGCAAAACATATGATAAGATTTTATATGCGATATGGAGATAAGGTGTTCTAATTCATGATTTAAATTTCAATTTGATAACTATGATACTGTTTGTTTTCTGATAGTGGAGATAGGGGAGAAAATGTTTCTGTTGCGGATAATATAATTGGACTTGTTGATATTGTGATATGATAGCATTATTTTTTGGTTGCCAATTTGAACCCTGCGTACTTACTAATATTGCCTTGATTTTTTGATTTCAGGAACCCTGGCTACTGGGATTGTTAACATTCTATGTTGTATTGCTGCTTGTAACTATCATCTCTAGGAAGAATACCAACTTTCAGATGTGCTTGTTCTTTTTGACGTGTATGTAATATTCCTTCCTTTTTATTTTATTTTATGGAATGGTACTTTTTTTGAATAAATTATGAAGGCTTAATTGAGCTGCTCTGTTATTTTTGATGTACCTAACTTCACTCCTGTTTGAAGTTGTTGCCTTCTGCTGTGATACTCAACTTACCACCTTGCCTTTGATTTTTTACTTGGATGAAATTGAAAAAAATAATATTTACTCTATTTTGTTAGGTTTCTTGCTTTTTGCATACAGGTCCGTTTGTCCTGTCATGGTTTGATGGTTGCATACCCAAAATTATCAACAGAGTGAATATCGGGTCTTGCTAACTCGTTGAAACTTTTTTTTTTTTGCATAGTGAAGCATCTAGCATTTAAATGTTTACAAAATTCTCCAATCTATTCTGTTAGGTTTCCAGGTTTTTCCATACAGGTCCATTTATCCTATCATGCTTTGATGGTTGCACACATACCCAAAATCATCAAAAGAATGGATATCTGGTCATGCTAACTCATTGAAACTACATCTTCTTTTTGCATAGTGGGGCATCTAGCATTTAGATGTATACAAAATCCTCCAATATATTTATATCAATATTTCTTTTAGAATGGGATTTTTCTTGTACAATCTTAGCCTCTCTCTCTCTCTGATCAAGCAATGAAGATACAAAATATTTAGTTAGTTCGCTAGCTTGTTAGAGGATAGATGGTAGAATATAAATAATAGGGATGAATATAGGTTTTGGATTTTTGAGTTGAAATTTGAATACCTAGGATCCTCAAGGATATAATTAATAGGAAGAATAGATGGTTTTGGGTTTTGGAGTGGAACTTTGAATACCTGGTTTACAGAAAATATACACATTTTGATTGGGCATGCCTGTGTCTCGAGTCTAAACTTGTATCAGAGTGATATATATAATCATTTACTTGCACTTGTTTTGTGTTTACATCTCTTAATCCTGCTGTCTTTGTTGAACCAATAATGTAGATTTTCTTTGTTGAAAATTGTTTTGATGCAGTGGCTGGTGTATATCTTGCTGAGAGACTTAATAGTTTTCTGGGGGGAAACTGGAAAAGCTTCTCTAGTCAAAACTATTTTGATCCAAGTGGAGTATTCATGTCAGTTCTTTGGTCTGGACCTCTTCTTGCATTGGCTATGATAATCTTGGTTAGTATTTTTCCTTATGACAACAATTTTAATAATGGTCTTCTCATAATGAATATCGACTTTATGTATCTTGTCTCTTTCTGCAGATCAATACCCTCTTTTCCTTATGCTACTTGATTGTTAAGTGGAAAAGAGCTGAACTAAGACATCGCGCAAGGGCTGCTCGTAGTAAGCAGGAATAGTTGATCTGTAGTAGGATTTTGATGGATTAAGCCTGTTTGTCTCTGCGTTTACATTGCCATAGACGTTTCCTTAACACTTCAATTTGGAGCTTCAGCTTTTTCAATTTTTTTCTACTTTGTCAAAAGCGCAACCAAACACATACTAAAAACTAAATGTAGTGGGATTTTGTGGATTCAACCATGAAGGAACTCATGTCAATGAGGTGATGTAATCACATGGATATAAATGAGTTGTCTTTCTCTTTTTTTCCTCAAGGAATTTTGTTATTTGAACATCAAAATACAAACACAGTATAATTTTAAACTCTATATCTTTCTTATTTTTTATATTCTCTTCTATAACTATAAGAACGTATTTAAAAAATATGCACCAAAAGCAAACGACACCAAATTTGACGGCAGAGTTTTGATGTCAAATATCATTACTAAACCAAGTTTCTTATTGATTGCCAGTTGTCTTACTCACTTATGTTTAAGTTGACTTGTACACATATAGTTTTTTATAAAAAAATATTGTTTTTATTTGACTTGTCTAGGGTGGATATTATTACCGGGGTTCATTTAAACATCCCAATCAAATGATCCAATTGGGACCATTACATTTTAACCATTAGATTTAAAAGAAAAATACTAATTTTATTTTAATTTTGAAAAGCTAAACGAAAATTGATCAAATTAGGGGGTGTAATCGGTTCGGTTTTGATCGATATTTAGTATAAAAAATGTCTGAATCGATTATATCTCCATTGGTTTAATTTGGTTCGATTTTTAATGTATTTTACATTTGTTTGGTTGATCGGTTTTTTATATTTATTTTTCTAAATATTATATTAATCGGTGTATTATTTGATATCATATTTTTTTGATATATTTTATGTTATTATTTTTTCAAATAATACATTTCATATAATATATTTCTTACTGTAGTTTTCAAACAACTTATAAGTTGTTCTCCATCTATATGAAGTATTGACATCATTTTCATATGTCATGAAATAAGTTTGCTATAGAATACAAAAGTTGGAAAGAAATTTGAAAGCTTAACAAATAAAGCAGAACAATAGAAACAAAAAGTTTCAATACACATAAATTAACACGTTTCACAACTCACACACATCAAAATTATTTTGTAACAAGACTAGAAGAAAACTCGTTGAAGAAGAAATATAAAAGGTAATAAAAAGATGAAAACTAACGAAAAAAATTTGAACATGAATAAGACAACCATAACATATAAGAATGACAGTGGCGAGAGAAACAACGATGGCGGACAGCTAGAGCAGCAGTTTGGCGAGAACAAATTTCTATGTCTTATGGTTTACAAATTTCTATGTCTTATGGTTTCTGCTTTTTATGTTTGGAGTTTGATTTTGGCATACATATTTTGTTCAAAGAAAGGAAGTATAAAAAAAGATGGAGAAATGTTAGACCGATACAAAGTTTGGACTTAATAATGAGCTAAATAAAATATTAAATATGTATTTATAGTTATCGATTTGATTCATCGATTTGACGATTCTTAAAAACTAAAACCGAAAATCAAATCAAACCACCTCAATTTTAATTGGTTTGATTCGATTTTTAAACAGAACTAAAAACACTCGATTATTTTTTTCAATTTAGTTTAATTTAAATTATCAATTTAATTGATTTTTCTCATCTACTTACACTCCTAGTTATAAGAATAGACTTATGTAAAATTGATATTGATAGAAAAGATTAATCATACGATTTTCATTTTTATTTATATATTGAATAAATATTAGTTTTTATTAATTAATGTGACATTTTTATACTTCATTTGTATTTCACAATAATATGAAAATAAGATACATTGAATATTTTTTAATTCCACCAAATTATTTAATGTCATGTCATTAGTTATTATAAAAAAAAAACATTTTTTAAGAACTTCATGTACTTTATATATTCATTATCTTCATCAAAACCTTCATCTTCAAAATCTAAAAAAACAATAATATTAATTTAAACAATGTTTAAATGCACTTTTAATCTTTCTGTAATAAGTTTTCTAATTTTTTAGTTTTCTTTTTAAAAAAATTAACTATTAGATCTCCTATTTCATTTTTTGTGAATTTTTGTTGGCCTCTGATCATTTCTCTCATATTTTAATGACATGGCACTTCAATATAAATACAATCACTTGTCACATCATTAAAAATATAATTATTTATTTTTTATTTGTATTTTCATTTTTTATTTTTCCAGAAATAATTTATATAATTATATTAAATATAATAAGATTAAAATTAGGTTATAAATTTGTGTCATGTCCTTCTTCGTTGCAAATCTTCCATACTTCTTATTCGTTGCAAATATTTCATACTTCTTCTTCCTTCTTCGCTTACGTTTCAGTCTTTCATACTTCTTCCCTTTTCGTTTTGCACTATCGTGTGCTGAAGACATCTCAATGCACGAAAGCTAGTAGTGTCTGAGCTACGCATTCATGTCATTTTCAAAGCGAGTGTAGGTGTGAGCTTGAAGCACTGTTGATGATCTCATAGACCGATTCCAATCCAGGTCAATGTTTTTTTGGGCGTGGGATGTATAAGGTAATGCTCATATCTTATTTACAGGTTTTTTGGGGTGTGGGTCTTTTGTGTTTGGCCGTAGATTCATTCATCTGTGTTGTTTTACTTACATGTACATGGTTATAAAAAGTGTAGCCATTTTATTTGGTATGATGATGAAATGTCTTCAAGAGCTAAGGAGATTATTACTTCACTACAAAAAAAACTGGATCAAGAAAGAACAAAAGTGGATGAAGCTAATATCAAAGTAACTGAAGTGAAGACAAAGTTGAATTCAATGAACTTAATTATGAAATTCTCTGTTTAAATAACATTTGTTTTGGTAATAGGATTAGTGTTATCAACTGTAAGGAAGTAGTGTTTTCAATTAGTGTAAACTTGGGCTTCAGTTGTTGTTGTCAATTTAGGATTAGTGTTGACAGTTGTTGGATAGTTGTAATCAACCCAGTGTATTTGTTGGTTTGAAATGAAATGGAGATGTTGTTTTTTGTTAATCTTGTACTAGTTTGAAGTTAACTGTAATGAACATAACTGGTGGATTGAACAAAGTAACATAAATGAAATCATAACTCATAATCAAAATAACAATTTCATTAGATTCATTAGCTTGTTTTTACAAGGCAAGTTAACATGATACATACACAAAATAACATCATGACATAAAACCTTCAAAGCGGAACATAACTTAAAGACATAATACCAAAATAAGATAACATAAGTTCATGACAAAAAAGTGTTCATGACTTCACAAAACACTTAACATTATAATCATGTCCTACAACTACTCTTGAGTTGGTTGTACAACAGGAGGACCCTGAGATGATGTGCCAATTTCAGTTACAACCTTAGTCTTAGTCTTTGCCTTTGTCTTAGTCTTTGTTTTTGCCTTTGCCTTGGTCTTTGCCTTTGTCTTGTCCTTAGTCTTTGCCTTCTTGTTCCCACCAACAAGTATGGATCTATCTGCATCTCTTTTTTCTTTGCAACTTCTTATGTTATGACCAACACCTCCACATTTTTTGCACGTCACTGTGGCTAAAGTCCTTGGCAGCACATGTGGATTTCTTGGCTCATCATTTAACTTGTTCCTCATCTTTTTGGGTGCATCCAATTGCCCTTCTCATCAATGGTGGATTGACTGCCATTTGTCCATCTAAAATATGCCATATTTGTGGTCCATTAGTTTGATAGATGATGTTGGCATAACATTTTAAATACTTAGATTTCCTGCACAAAATTACAAATAACAGCCAGAATACAGAATTATCAATAACAACCATAACAAATAATTACAAATGAAAGTAACAAGACATAAAAATGAGACCTACTTGTAATAGCCATTAACATATTCTTCTGGTGATTTCTTGATCTGCCACATACAAGAGATATCATGTATGCAAGGAATCCCAGTCATCATCCACTTCCTACATGAAAAAGTACCTTCTTTGAGGTTGATACATAAAGTTTCTTTCCCATTTGCGACTTCAAATATTTCCATATCATCATTACCATGCTAGGTGGGAGTCCAACCATGAACATACTTCTTGTTCTTGTCAAGAATTAATTGGATATTTGGACATATATCTCCAGAATATCTATGAATCATCTTCTTCTGACTTGTAATCCTTTTAGTGAGATAATGGTTAATTCCCTCCAACAAAGTAATTATTGGTTTGTCCCTGTGCTCCAATAAAGCTCTGTTAAATGCCTCGCACATATTACTGACTTGAAGATCACACTTAACAAATGTCTTGAAATGTGAACTTTCCAAAATTTCGCAGGCACTTCCATGATATCTTTCCATGCATCAGGATCAGCAACTTTAAGCCTAATCATTACTCTCTCCCATTCTGTAATGGTAATAGCCATAACTGCACTCCAAAAAATCTCTTTCAAAACCAACCCAAAAAATTTCTTCTTCCAATTTCCATATAAGTTCTTTACACAAAGCCTTTGCTTAACATGCTCACTTACACCTTGAACGGTTAAAACAAGTCCCTGATAAGATAAACACATTACATGAATTTAACATGATATGCTAACAGAGTAAACATGATAAGCTAACAGAGTAAACATATTAGAAGTTAATGGAGCATGGTTACCTTTTGCTGGTCTGAGATAAAGGCATATGGAATATTGTTAATTAATTGCAAGTCTTCAAGGAGAAGTTTTCTGAACCACTCCCAAGAATCTTTAGTCTCATCTTCTACAACAGCATATGCAATTGGAAATATTTGGTTATTTTCATCACCTCCAACAACTGCCATTAATTGTTCCCCATAGTCACCTTTCAGAAAGCATGCATCCAACCCTATTAACGGTCTGAAGCTTTTAGAAAATCCAACCTTACATGCTTGTAGATACACATATATTATTTCAAACACATGACCATTTGTTGAATCAGAACACTGTAATATAACACTATTGTTAGGGTTTGAATTCAATAATTCT